CTAACCTAAATTACGAATGGCTGTTATGTGGAAATGTGTAATAAGAAGTAGGAAATGTCAACGGTTTATTTCCATGAAATGCAAATGCAAATGAAATTCTCCATGAGAAGATTAATACATCTTCAATATTGTGCATTTATATAAGCTATTTTCCGTTTTGGAAGAAGTACTCAGATCCTTTACTTATGTAAAAGAAGAATGGTCTTAAAGTACTCCATTACAAGTAAACGTCCTGATTTCAACATTTGACTTAAATAAAAGTACAAACGTATCAGCTTCAAATTAGACTACTAAAAGTAAAAGTACTCATTCTGACCAATTTCATAATAATGTAAAGTACTGAAGTATTATCAGGTAATTGTACTTCAAGTATCAAAAGTAAAAGTACTTTCTTTTAACAGTATTATATTAATATGTTTATTATATCATCCTGTTTTATAGCAAGAGCATTTTATTGTTGTAGCTTTTCAATGTGGAGCAGTTTAGATACATGCAATACTAGATTATTAGTACAGTAGGCTACTGCATTATACCATATATTATTTGTATGTACAAAGTAACTGTGTTAGTTTTAGTGTGGTAAAGTACAAATACTACATAAAAAAAGTACTTGGTGGGGTATGTAATTTATTTCAGAAACACTTTTTGTTATATTCCATGGAATGTTCTTAACGTCCCGATAGCAATGAATATATTAAATGCTTTGACAATAAATCCATAATAAATTCTCATCTGTGGAAGCCGTGGCGCTGTAAAAAGCACGACCAATCATCTGAGCCGGCCCGGCTAAAGTAACTGGATGGCCTACCTGCCTGTCAGCCTTCCATCTCGTGCACACATTTATCTCGTGCCCTCATTGGTCATGTGCGCGTTCGTGTGTGTTGGAGGAGGGGCTCTGTGAGGAAGTCTGAAGGAAGTGGCAGATTTTTTCCGGTTGTGTATTTTCAAATTCAAGCGCACTCGAGCTGGTTTCTCCATTCCTTAATATAATAATTGCTTATATGCTGTAGCTTCTATTCTTTTCTGAGAGTAGTACATTCCTGTAGTCTATTTTAGACTTTTTTTTCTTAATTAAACCAACAATACCTAATTTATTTATTAGAGAGCTTCTTGTGTACAGATTATGTTACCTTTGGAAAGAACTACATGATTCCCCATTTACAATCTCTATGCTAAGCTAAGCTAACCACCTTCAGCCACTGCAGTCTATATTGAGGTTATTTATCTTTTTGTGCACATCCAGGCATTAGCTATACATCACAAGGGCTGTCTCCAAAACCATCAATGCATTAAGATACTGCTGCATTAAATAAAGTAAGAGGAAATAACTAATAATAGTAGCAGGTATTTCCGCACTAGTTGCAAGATTAGCAATTTAATTAGTGTACCTCTGGACTCCCTCAGGCTACATTATGATCCAGTACACTTTACAGGAATTGCATGACATCATAGGAAGCAGAAAATACCCCACCATACGATAAAGTCAATGTAATGACCCCCGAAGAAACCTCAGGCCTCCACAGAAACATAATATTCTGCTGATATTTCTCATCAGGATAGTTAAATAGTGCAGTTAGGAGATTGTATTTCCTGTAAGCCTATTGATGGCCTTCATTTCATACTTTGATGAGATTGTAATGAGGTTGTAAAAGTAATCTGATGCAAAACAGGCACACAGTGTGAGAAGTTCCTAAGATTTGTCAATGCTGTGTTAACATCATAGACACATTGTTAGGCCTGTGGTTGAATAAGGGAAAGCCTTTTGAGACAAGTGATTCATTTCTTCGACTTCATGTGTTGTTGTAAGAAAATAAGCTAGAAGTTATAGGTACAATCACATGCTGTTTATATTTTTCTTTCCACAAAAAACAATCCCACAATAGGCAAACTGTAAATAATAAGCCGTGAGAAAGTCTGGCTTGAAAACCGAAGGGAAAAGGGAGTAGACAACAATAGACTTCCTATCAAACTAGCTGACATTTGGGGAAATGTGATTGGTAAACTCTTAACCCTGCCCTTGTAATGTACACCCTGACATAAAAACTCTTAAAGGCCCATTTTCACACACTGGTTAGCAGAGGGTGAAATAAAGGCATTCACAGTCTAAATGTATCTGTTTACTCCAAGATGTTGTCTAAAGTACAGTGTGGCGATGCCAAGCACCATGTTACAAGTCTGGAGTGACTGCTTTTTATGTAAAGGCTGCTTGAAAATCACATTTAACTGGATTTTTCTAAGAATCACAAATTAACTGAGCAATCCGTTGAGGACTCAGGGCCTTAATGCTACTAAATTGATCTGACATTTGGGAATTTACATCAAACCACACACACATTACTGACCCAGATTACACATAGAAGATTGATTCTGATGCATTGATTCTGAATCATTTTAAATAGTTTTTTGTTTTGCACAAAATATTAATTTAAAATGTTATATAATATGGTTGCCAATTTAAGAAGTATGCTTATGCACTTTCTTGCCAAGAGTTAGATGAGAAAATCAATACAAGTCTCATATGCGCACTTTAAATATTGAGCTACATTTCACCAGTATTTTCTTTTTGTATGTGGCTAGTCCAAATGTGTTCATATGTTGGATTGCAGCTTCTTGGAATTTGGGTTCAGTTTGGAAAAGAACAAGACTATTCATCATGTCTGAGAGTTGCAAGAGAAACACAAATCTGCCTCTTTAAAAGGCATGTGACAGGGTTTTCGTAGTAATCAGAGAAGCCTAAGTAACCACGTGTGTGTGTGTGTGTGTGTGTGTGTGTGTGTGTGTGTGTGTGTGTGTGTGTGTGTGTGTGTGTGTGTGTGTGTGTGTGTGTGTGTGTGTGTGTGTAAGGAACTAAGCACACTTTAATAAGTGCAACTGTGTACTTACAGGTGCTCAGTTCCTGGAAAGTGATCTGCGCTGCTGACTAATAGCTGAATTCTTGCAGTATACCACATGCCTGACTTTGCTCTCTTTGACAGGCGTCTAGGTGTAGTGGTGACTGAATGTGGAAGACAAAAACATCCGATTGTACCCGATGAAAAGCATTTCGTCAAAGATATTGTTCTTAAACACTGAGTCAGAAGGAGTCAAATGCTTTGGACCCTTCTGCAGAAATATGTATTTGCACACTTTTTGACCACATACAAAAATCAAAGGGAGATCAAACATTATTTATAGTTTTTCAATCTGATTTGTCACAAACCACATCAACTCTGTTTCATATACTGTTTAAATGTTCCTTGTCTACATTTAGGTAGAACTCATTTAAAAGCAGATAACCAAGAACCTTCTACTACTAAATACTGTTATCTGCTTTGACTTTTCAGATCAGTCAGTGATGTTTAATGCTTTCCAGGAGCAATCACCTGATCAGATTTTGAAATGTGGTATTTAGTTCTTTCAGCTGCATTGTGCACTTTCCTCTACTTAAGTCAGTGATCTCCTATTTCCCAGAATGAGATATATAACAACCCCCCCACACAAGGGTGGTGAACGTGTTATTTTCACCTGTAAATGTTCCGTGTAGGTGGTGAGAGCAAAAGCGATACCATCATAAGAACGAGAAGAAAGAAGAAAACAATTTTTTTTTCTCCAGAGTAGAACAAGTGAGTAGTTGTTCGAACACAAGACGAAACATTTCTTCTAAAAATTATTAAAATAACTGCCTTTCTCCAAATGGAAAAATAAGTCCAAAAAGTATGTGTTAAAATGTTTTGAAATTAGATATAGAGTCTACAGCCAAAGTAGTAGTTCTTTGAGGTTGTTCTCTGGGACAACATTGCTAAAATGTCACCATCTAAGTACCATTAGCATGCTATCATTTGCCTCAGTGTTAAATAAAAGGAAAGCTGAGGTTCAAGTGTGAGAGCATGTGACACAATTGTTTAACATTTGAAAGTGATCACTAAAGTCATTGCAGTTCATTCTGAGGGGGAAATTAATGTCTATAACGTCCATCATATTGTGGAGATATTTCACCTTCATGTTAAACTCATGGTAGGCTAGTGCTTGAGGAAAATCCCAAATATATAGGGTCACCAAAGCATATTTGGTTTATCCTCTGTAGACCATGAATGTACTTTGGAGATATCTCAGTCTTGACCAACGTGTTGGACTGACCGACGACACTATTAGCTGTCGAGCTAACGCTAACTAAATAGAATAATTTGTACAGATAATTCCTTTATGTTACCACTACTACATCAACCACCTGTGAAGTCAAAGTTCAAACTTTGCAGTGGAAACAAATTAAACAAGTTTTAAAACAGTCCACAAACAATTTAACTGTAACTATTCTCACCAAAAACAAGGCAACGAAAAGGAAACGGAGAACCAGGCTGCTTCTGATCCTCAGATATTGTAAACTAGTTCATGCAGCACAGATCTCGTAACCTGAGGCGATGATATTAGGTGTTTTTATGTCAAAGGATATGCTGGCACAGGTCGACGAAAACTAAGTTCACGACCCTGCCAGACACTTTCTCGATTCTCGTCTTTTCCTGTTGACAAGTTCCTTCTAGCTCTTCAGTCACGCAAATGGCCTTGTGAGCTCACTCAGTGCAGAGAGAAAGAGATGCTCTCGATGAGCTCTCAGCACGATGACTCACATCCTATCATATCCTGGAACATCAGACACTCGCAGGTTTATTGACAGTGCAAGTGCAGTCAAGTCAGAGGTGTGTTTGCAGAGGATTTGAAAACCCAATTCAAAGGATTTTCTTAACTTAACATCCACTTCACTTTATTGTTGAAATAAGTTAGGTATATATACACACACAACTGTTTAAAAGTATTTGATTTTATATAGGGATCTTTGCTTTGTCACAGAGTAACCATTCAGTTATAAGCCTGATACATGTAAAAAAGTCCAAATAACCAGAATCTAATTAAATGAGCATATGAACAGTTTTCTAATGAAAAAAAACAAACCTTAAATGTAATGTCTCTCCCCAAGAACTAACCTGATCCGATAAAAATACCTTTAAAGAAATAAGTGGGAACACTGTAGGTTGAGAAACAAACAACATTTTATTAAGAAACGTACTCTTTAAAACATATTTTTTAACATTGTAAAAACCCATGTCACTGCTGCCGTCTGACTGTCGGCAAAACCTCATCTAAGAAAACTCTGAGTGCAGCTCTCTATTTCTGTGTTGCACAAAGTAATGATCTGTTTACCAGTTCTGTATTGTTTGGAGGGTAGTCGTTTTAGAAAGTGTGCAAACTTACAGCGGTAATGATGTTTGTAATGCGAAACCAAAGCAATCAAGCCATAACATTTACCATGCATTATATCTCGCAGACAAAACATATTTTTTGGCATATGCAACTACCCATGGTGTTATGAAAGGGAGTTGCATATCAAACCATCACTTAGTAGTTATGGTGGGTAAATACTGCCCAATTACTCTCAAAGAAACTAATCTGTTCTAGAGTTCTGCAGCAGGTACAATATGTGAATGTCAGAGTTTTATCCATTTAAAAACACATATATAACATAGCTCAACTGATCTGCACTCTGAAGGCGTCCTGAGCAGTGCCGGATTAGAATTAGCCATGCAATGCAATTGGTCAGATCTGGAAAAAGCATTCAGCAGACCTTCTAAAAGGAACATATGGAGGCCGCTCAGAAACACTGAGTTAGCAATCCGCTTGTTTAGCTTAACTCTCAGACCTCCATGTGCGCTTCCTGTATTGGCTTCGTATTTAAAAAGTTCAGAGGGTCCTCACTGTCCCGTAGAGGGGTGGACAGGTACTCTAACTCGTAGCCCCCGCTCCTGTTGGCGGGGCGGACTTCAGTCGATGGTTTTTTGTGCTCCAGGATCTGCTGCAGCTGCTGGCTGGCGTACTCAGGCTTGGTGGTGAGGGGGCACTCGGGCACCTCGATGCCCAGGATGTCAGTGACCATGTAGGGCCGCAGCCAGCCCACCAGAGGGGTGCTGCCGGGGGTGTAGTGGGTCTGCCGGTGGTAGAAGAGAAGACCATCCACCTGCAGCCAGAAAATTAGATATCGAAGTGACTGTTATTTTGTATATATTGATTGTTGTGCTTTTATTTAGGTCTTAATGTGTGCATATGTATAAATGTGTAAATATATATAGGTATATATACATATTTTGATATATATTTGTTTTTGTACTCTAGATTGTGGGTATTTCGATCTCTCTGTCTGTACACACAAACTGAAAGATTGACAATAAAGTTGACTTTGACTTGGGAATGAAAGCCTAATGAAGTTCCTCTATTTGTGTTTCATAACCAAATGATGTATAATCCCACAAATACACCTAGTGTTTTAAGCAGCTATTTGACTCTACATGCAATGTGCAGCAGATATGTTTTGAATTGAAGGAAGAGAGATATTTTCTTACGCTGAAGCTGTACTCGGCAGCCAGGGCTTTCTGGATCAGCTCTGCAGTGCAGGCTGCACTTTGAAGGCTCACAAACCGGAACTGTAGGACCAAACAAAACCAGAGCACACCACGTTGTTAGTTCAAACACAATTTGTCCTCGTGTCAAATGTGAGAAATTACTTTCCGATGGAGAGTTTACTCTACAAGGACTAAGCCTGATTTAGCTCCTACTGGGCTGTACCACAGGAAGGCTGCAGATTAAAAGGGGAATAGAAATTCAAAGTTCACCCAGGCTTCATCTAAGCCCCGTAATTATCGAGATTTGTGTGCAATAAACACTTTAGTGCACAATTAGTACCAAAGACGGTAATGGGAGTTCGCTTTTGATTTCCTTTGTCTCCTCTTTCCCTGAGGAGGTTCACATTAAGGACTCATATGTGGAAACGAGGTGCAGCAAGGCACAACGTGATTGGATAAACATGTAACAGTGTCTCAAATAACAACACTGAAAACTAGACGGGACAAAATGGAGCTTGAAGTGAAGATGCTCTTTTCCTGTTACTCACAGGGTTGCGTTTGGCGATTTCTGAAAGGCCGTCCGTCTCCTCGACTTTGGACTGGAGCCAGAAGAAACGGAACTCGGTCTGTTGATGAGAAAACAAGAACTGTAAACAAAAACCTCCTTCTTCAAAATGCAGAGCCAATGAGAGGGGCAAACGTGGCAAAGAAGCACATCTGTGGCCCAGACTCGGCTACTTAAGCAATTAGACGAGCATTCCTGGATTAGAAGTCCGTCTTACCGGGCAGTCGTAGACCGGGTGGCCTCGCCAGCACATGACGTCCAGGATGTAGAACGTTCTGTCCACCTCGCTGTAGATGCAGTCCAGGATCGTGTAGTCTGCTCAAGGCACAGAAAAAAGGGGCAACATGATGAGACATACAGAATCCACTATTATACCAAAAAATACTTTCACAACTTTATAGAACAAAATGATTCCAACATCTGTATATGCAAAGAGTTTAAAAGCATTATTGACCAATATAGGAGTACAAAAGTTACTAGTTCTGATTTATTTGGTTGTTTCTTTTAGGACCCGTTTGATAAGATCTAAATCATAAGATGCTAATAAAAGACAGAACTGTATGCTTGCAACAATATCTAGTAATCGTTAGATCACTGCTCTCATTGACCCCATCCACATCTAGTTTTAAACTATTATTTCCCTTTTCATTCAAATCCTCTGTTTTCATGTTTCATTGTATACACATTTACAGAATGTTCTTTCTTATTATCTACCTTTGGAAAATGCTTTGTCTATAAATATCACATTAAAAGCCGCAGGCGGAGCTTCTTTAAATGTTGTTGCACTGCATTTCACTTTTGTGCATATCAACACCTTCTTGTAGACAGCATCATCCATCAGCCCCCAATCAGTCTCACATTTCTTATCAATTACATCCAGGATCGAATAGAATCATATTTTGTGTGATATGTATTAGGGCTGCACGATATTGGAAAAAACTGACATTGTGATATTTTCTTCCCCTACGATATGAAAAAATACAGGAATTGAAGAAACCATCCGCAAACCATCCTTTCTTGAACTTTAATGCTATACAATTCGTATTTTTTTAACGATATTTAACCAGATGAAGAATTTTAGTCACGGACTTCTGGATCTTAAGTTATCAGAGCAACAAGCTGAGCTAGCTCGGTTATCCTGCTGTGATCTGATCAAGAATGATTGTGATTGGTGGCTTGCTGTGCATGCAGAGCCTGCATGTCACTCACTCACGAGCCCCTGACATGAGAGCCGCGCAAGTTTTCCTTTTGTAGCAAGCAGCAAAATAATTGTAACATGACGTGTTTCAGTTCATTTGCCTACTTAAAGGTGGGGTAGGTCATTTTGGAGAAACCAGCTCGAGTGCGCTAGAATTTGAAAATACACAGCCGGAACAAATCTGCCACTTCCTCACAGAGCCCCTCCTCCAACACACACGAACGCGCACATGACCAATGAGGGCACGAGATAAGTTTGTGCCCAGATGGAAGGCTGACAGGCAGGTAGGCCATCCTCGTGTCGTGCTTTTTACAGCGCTACAGCTTCCACAGATGACATTTTATTATGTATTTATTGTCAAAGCATTTCATGTATTCATTGCTATCGGGATGTTAAGAGCATTCCATGGAATATAACAAAAAGTGTTTCTGAAGTGAATTACATACCCCACCTTTAATATTGCACGTCCTAAAAAATACAAAATAAATTAAAAAATGCGATGTGAATATCGCGATTATCGTCGCGACACGATATATCGTGCAGCCCTAATATGTATAAAGATACAATTACATTTTACATTGAAGAAAAGAAAGAAATATGTTCGTGTATGCCGTCAATTACAGTTCATTTGAGAACCGATGTAAAAATTGCATTCGATTTTGAATATTGCCCTCATTATATCTCCATTTTCTTGTGCTTCATTAATTGCCTAAGTGGTCTCCTATAGTTAACCACTGCACCACATTCAGCAGGCCCACCTACCTTTTCCCATGGCCGAGTTGTGGCGGTTCCCCCCGGGCAGCAGGGAGGGGAAACGGTTCACACAGTATCCGCTTTTAGTGTACGCTGCAGTGGAGCCCTTCAGGAGAGAAAAGACAGAGAGGATACATGAAGGAAGAGTTACCACAACATTATAACTGAGTACAGAAGTATTGTGACTAATGAGAAAAGGAACAAGGCGATCAGAACACTGGATCATTCAATTTCTTCTATCACTTTGCTTTATTTACACACTTCTTAGTGTTTGACTTTGTGACACATGCTTCAGAAAGCTGACAGATGTGCAATTAGCTCAAACCAAAAGTCACATTATATCAGCTCAACTGTTGTTGCCCTATTTTGCATTACATGACACATTTGTAAATTAAGACTAACAATGTGTATTCATTTTTTAATGACAATGAACTTTGAATAATTTATTTAAACAACATAAATCAGTAAAAACGTTAACAGTACAATCATATTGTAGAAAGAGCGATTCGATTAGTTAATCGTCACATCGTTATTGTGAGGAGCTTACTACCTGCACATACAAATACAAATGTGTGCCTTAAATACTCAAGAAAGGTGGATGATAGTGGTCGATGAGGAGAGGGGAAATATGGGCCAAACAGTGGGGTCTCAGATGCCAGAAAGTTTACATAGTTACTGCAGAGGACATAAAAGTGACTACCGATGAGACATGTTCAAGTTTCCTCAAGCGACAAACACCATCTGTTTCGTAATGGCCTCTGTATCGCGGCGTCTCAGATATTTGGCGTCAATGAGGTCAAGTTCTGAAATACTGAATAAGGAAGCAGGTGACAGTCATTCTGATAATATAAGCGGTTGCATCACAGGGTGTGATCGGAGGGAAACTGTAGCCTCGGGCCAGTGCGACAGGACAGACATGTTGTACGAGAGTTACCAGAGAAATGCTGACACATGTTTTTATTACTCATAAACCACACAACTGAATACGTGGTAGATGAGGCTATTGTTTTACCTTCACCACTACTGAAGACACATGCAATTGCGTAAGAAAGTCAAGTGGAAAAACACTACAGATTGTTTTAACATGAAGTTATTGATAGCTAATTTTGTTTCTTATAAGTTATGGTTAATGATGATTACGAAACGAGAGGAAGTCGGCAAGAGGAGACTGTTTTTCTGAATTCACAACATTGTTTTTCCGGGTTGTTTGGGGGACATGAACAAAGTAATACAAGTCACATTTTTAAAAAGGAACTCTAAAGCAATATTACCGTTTGTCAACATTTTATGCATGTTAAAAAAGGTACAATATAATAGTGTAATACATACATAACTCAGGCAGGTTGAGCTAAGAAGGTGAAGCTGATCTAAAATCAGTATCCTTTCAGCTGCCATCATTAGTCGACTGACTGAAAATTAATCGGCACATTTTCATAATCATTTAAAATAAAAACGTCAATTATTCTATGTTTTAGTTTCTCAGATATGAGAATTTCCCCCCCAAACATTTAATTGACTAAACAATAACATTAAATCAATAAAATAAAACAATGATGTCCCTGTGTTGGGCTTGGCAGATCACCACGAGGAACGTTTCAGAGCAGACAAAGCATGCATAGTTCAAATCAATTACAACCCACACTCTTTTCACCATTGACCTTTACTATCCGTCTCTTCTCTGATGGGATCACTTTGTGCACCTGCATTGTAATCTAATGACTGAATGCACATTGACGTCGGCATGATGAGGACTTCTCTTATTTCCAAATGAATGGTGAGACACAACGTGGCTCAATACCACAGCTTCTGGTACTTCCTGTTTTGCAGAATTTCTCATGACTTCTTTGGCGTGAAAGCCAATCCCTTTATCTTTTTGCATTACATTCTTGTAGTCATGAACATGCAGCTGTATTATATTTTATTTTATAAAAACTGCCTTACATTGCAACTCATTAATATGGTATAATAAACCTACATCTTTACAGTATCATAACGAAATCAATTCTAGTTTACAGGAAAAGTATTCCTAACAGTTCCCCTATATTGTTTATTGTGTGTAGGATTTCTAAAATAATTGGTCTCATCTTGCTCACAGACATAACTCACCTCAGGCTGTATAATAAACCCCCACACACAAACAATGAAGACTATGAAACGGACAAGTCAAATCAAGCAATCTGATTGGTTCTTACCCGTGATATAATGAGTGTTTATCACGGGTAGAATTGTAGTTACTTTTCACAACAAGTCAGTATCCCTCCGCGTCTGAGAAAAGCTACAACCGTTACATTACGTCCATTACGAAACTAACTAACTAACTTATGGCGCGTTTCCACTGCAGGCCTCGCTCGGCCTTGTTCGGTTTGGTTAGGCCTTATTAGGCCCGGCTCACTTTAATGCTGCGCTTCCATTACAGTTTAGGAACTGGGGCAGTTACTATAGTAACGCAGTGTAGGCGGAGCCGTGACGTCATCTTCAATGAGAGCCCCAGAAAAACAACACAGCCATTAGCTCTTAGCACTCAGAGCTCACAGCTCCTCATATCTGTTCAGAAACTAGACAAAAGTTAAACAAGTACAAACCACAGACTGTCTGTGTCATGGAGAATACAGTCGCTGGTTTATTTATGTCTGTATAGGCCGTTGTTGTGACTGTGGACGGTCGGAGCATATATAACGTTAGCTTAGCCAAGCTCCATTTAGAAAACACGCATTTTAAAAAGGGTTTTTCGCCTGCCGTCTGTCTGCAGACTTGTCAAAGCATTAATTCATGGTTCTTACTAACCGGTATCAGTATGTTGTTACTTCGGCATCATTTTGAAACGTGTATTACAATTAAATCACGGTCAAATATATTCATTTTGTTGTAGTTGTAGCCCCCTTGCCAGCGATTCTCTCTCTAGTTTAGCATACTCAGCCCGACTCAGCCTGGTTGTTCCTGGCCCTAGAACCACGATTTTATGGGGCCAGAAAAACTGTGAATTAGGACCCGCTAGCCGGTACTAGGCCAAGTGGAAACGCAACCAAAAACGGGCCCCGCACGGCTCGGCACGCTTAAAGCGAGCTACCCGCTGCAGTGGAAACGCGCCATAACAAAGCTTAAGATGGAAACATGTAAGGGATAATGTGCAGCAAGGACTTATTGATCGTTGTTAAGGACTCTCACATCTGCTTCGCGTCGGGCCGAACCACGCCCCTTAACTGTGATATAATGACCATATACCACGGCCTGTCGTGAGCTATTGCTTAACTATAACCCCCCATTTGTGTAATACTACTAATGTGCCATCTCAAAACTCTACTGGATGTGTTTTGTGTCATTTGTAAATTGTGTAATTTTCCCTTTTTATTTGTAATATTTCTATGAATGCTTCTTCATTATATTAAGCTATCTTTGGCTCTCTACTTGCTGTAACAATGTACATGTATCCTCTGTGGGACAAATACAGGTATTCTGATACTGATAAAGGGAATGCAGTGTTAAATGTACAATAAATGCACAGTAGGATAATCCTCTCAAAACATTGACTGGGTAGACACATGACATTGCATTTAAACTAGAAGAGTTTCCTGCTGTTGTTTATCTTGATAAAAGGTTGAAGGATAGGCTTAGAATTAGGACCGGAAGATGACTCATTAAAAATAGAAGAGATGGAAAGTAGTTGAAAGCAAATAATAAGCAGCCTGCAGGATTTAAATTGAATTTGATTGACAGTTCTACATATGGTGAATGATCAATGTGGTGCCTTAAAACATGTACCTTGTTCCTGTAGGAAAGGATCATGTGCAACACTAGAAAGCATTGACAGGTTTTTACCTTGGAGGCAACAATGAGGGATCTTTTCCCCACAGGACAGACGACCATCAGCCAATCAGTGTCCAGCTCTGATGGCACATCCACCAGCCACTCCGACAGCATTATCTGAGGAGGAAGAGGAACTTTGTAACGTTTCATATCACTTAGCTGATGCTTTCTGTCAAAGCGGTTTACAATAAGTGCAATCAACCATCAAGATACAAACTCAAAACAGCAGGAATCCTGTAAATACATTAGCTTCAAATAAGCCAAACCTTTCTAAGTATTGCATAAAGAACTGGTGTTTTTCTATTGGCTAAGGAGCCGTTGTTAACAGTCATTTTAAAGAAGAACAAAATGATCAAATGTCAAATCTGATAGCTTCAACAAACTTATGATTCTATGAACTCAAGCGCCCTCTGCTGATCGAGATGGTTCATCGGTTTTATTTATTTAGCTTTGGCATAGAAAATCTTAAGTTAGGGTTACAACTGACCTGGTTTGCATAATGTTTTGGCAGCTTCCTCTTCTCAATGTCCATCCCCTCCTCCTCTTCCTCCTGCTCCCGTTCCCCCTCCTCTTTCTTCTCCATGTCCTCCCCTTCATCGCTGTCTGCCCCGGTCCAATCCCCATCAGCCAGGCGCCGAGCATGGTTGACGTAGTTTAACCTTTTACTGAGATTAGCGATAAGGGGAAAAAACATTAAACATTAAAACATGCATTTAAATGACGGCCAGAACAGGAACCAGTTCATCTGCAAACCTGCAATCTTAAAGAGACCAATTCTGGCAAGCTGGGAGAAAATCTGGAAAGGGTTTTCTAGGACTGCGTCCAGGATGTAGATGACAAGTGTTTCTGTAGTCATAAGTATGCAGCTGGAATAAGGCGGTGTTTACACGAGAACGAAACGGGTTGTATCGGCTACTTTTCTCTCGCATATAGCCCGTTCGTTCACACGAGACCGTAACGGAACCACGGAAACGCACCCCAAGGTGGATAGATCTGCAAACGGAACGCTCTGGGGGGCCAAACGGCTCCGTCTGTACGTCCTATACGATAATTTCCTGATAACGATGAAGCCATAGCCCCACCTCTCCTGCTCACTGCTGTAGCATGGTCAGTAGCAGTACAGATGTTATTGCAAAATCTACAGCTCTTCTACCACAACCATAAGCAACAAATGGAGAATTACATGAACTTCATGTTGCTAAATCTACCGCGGGGCATAAACAGAAGGGCAACCATGGCAACCATGCTCGGGGGTCTTCTTCGCTGCTTTTGGTGTATTTTGTGGCGAAAGTACAGCATCACTTACAGGCCCGGCATATGTACTACAGCGTCTCCAGCGCTTACGAGCGGTCTCGAGCGGAACTACAGCGCCACTTACAGGCCCGGCATATGTACTACAGCGTCTCCAGTGGTCTTGTGTGAACGGACACGTTAAATGAGCCGAATGCGTGTGAACGGAATACTTTTTTGAAAACGAATTCGGTGAGTAAACGCAAACTTTCCCGTGTAAATGAGGTCTTAGTAGAAGCAGAAGCTAATGCTAAACGGGCTCTGGTGCATTGGCTTTCCCTGTTTAGCAGCAATGGTATTACAAATGTGTTCATGTTGCAATAATGAAACAAGAAAGGCAAATAACATTATTTTAAGTACTAAAACTAAATATAAGTGTGGAGTAGTGACTCTAGTTTGGAGAAAATCCTACCAAGAAGGGACAGGGTCCGTACTGGGAACTTGTAATAACAGGATCTTATCACCTTCGCTCTGAGGACTTGTTTCTTCTAACTGTACCAAAAGTCCGTACTGAACTGGGGAAAAGGGCGTTCAGTTACGCTGCTCCTGTGGCTTGGAACCAGCTGCAAATTGATCTGAAACTCAGAGAGCTGGTCTCTTTAAACAAACTCAAAGCTACTTTAACTGACCTTGAATCAGCCGCTGTGTCTGTAAATGCTTTGGCTAAACTTGTTGTATGACTGTGTTGTGATTGTGTGTTTTAAAGATTGTCTGTAACTGTGCTGTTACCATTCTTGGGCCAGGACGTAAAACATATATAATTAGAAACTCCAGGGTTAAATACTGATAAAGAAGAGCGTTTACCTTTTCTGCAGCTCAAGGAAGCGCCGCCGCCTCTCGCTCTGCTCCAGAACGCTGAACTTGCTCTTGTACTGGGCCAGCCGAGGGTGAGCGGTGGCGGTGCTGTTGGGCTCCTTGGACACAGCAAAGCTGGCCGAGAGGGCTTGGGTCAGGTCATCCATGGGGACTCTGGAAAGGTGGTTAACACATTCAGTTTAGTAACAATATATCATTCAAAGAAAAAGAAAATAGTGGCCACCAATTATTAATAATCTTTGGGAGCCGCAATGACACTTCTTGTGTGCTTCAAACCCTTGTAAACCTATAAGAATTATGTGAAATCAACAATATATGATAAAATATACTATGTGGGAAGGAACCATTACATGGCACTTCCATAGTGGAGAGATCATTGAGTGTGTGATTGAAGCATGCGGATTTGAGAATCATTTGTGATTTTGAGGCAAAATTGTATCTATCAGTTACTGCTAAAATATTCTTTATTTTGGTAGTTCAGCCTGTTGCCAGTTAACCTCTGTTTGACATTTGCATAATGGCACACATGTTCCTGTTGTAGTGTGATTACATATTTTCCAAAGTCCAAGTTGATGTCTTGTACTTTACAACCCAACTGCATTCACTATTACTATAAGATTAAGCAGCGAAAAGTGATTTAAGATTTTAAAATCACAAACGCTCTCTAAAACTTATATCCATTAATCATAATCAAAATAGTTGTCATAGTTTAGTTTTCTGTTATTAATCTCTCCAGCATTAATACATCATCACATTGTGACACACAGCTTCAGATAGCATTAACAACAGTCATTGTAAACATCAAATTATGTGCTAATATACAGTGTTGGAAGAAGTACTCAGATCCTTAACTTAAGTAAAAGTACAAATACTAAGGTCTTAAAATACTCCATAACAAGTTAAACTCCTGCTTTCATAATTCGTCAAATAAATCATATTGTAGAGAAGTGTAATCTGATAAATATACTTCAAGTATCAACAGTGAAAGTACTCATTACGCAGAAGGGACCGTTAACAGTATTGTATTACTATGGATATTATATTATCCTGTTTTGATACATGTTAAGAGCATGTTAGTGCTGTAGTGGGCCACATTTAGATACCGTGTATTTCAGCATATGTGTACAAAGTAACTAGTGACTGTGAGTGATGAAACAAATGCTGTGGAGTAAAAAGTACATATTCATCTCTAAAATAGCATTACATGGAAATACTAAAGTAAAGTACAAATATGTCTACTTAAGTAAATGTACTTAGTTACTTTCCATCAATGTTAACATATCCATTAAGTCTGTACCCTCAACCTTTAAAATGCAGTTCATGCTCCTCAGAAGAAGTGTTGAGGAGTTCACATGGTTAGTTAGTTTTGATACTAAATTCGATACATCAAAACTAATAATACGAAAGCATGTAGAGTTATGTCCGTTTAAAATAACTTTTTAACCACATTACTGTTATCTTCGAATATGCAATCTACAAGGAAGACAAACCTCTAAACAAACGAGTGATACAACGTGAAAAAAAGCCCGGGGATCTTTTTTAAAAACCCACTGCTACAACATTCGTCATGTTAGCAGTTAGCATCGAGCTAAACATGCTGCTGCAAAACAGTCTTTAGCAACACTGATTATACAGCGTTACGTGACTGTTTTAAGTGCACACTATCTACACATACTTATTAGACCCAAAGTAACCATTTGACAAGATAATAGCATGACAAATATCACTAGCTCAGGAGGTACCTTGGAGATGCAGGGAGGAAGCTGCTGTGACGTCACTCTACCATCGTTCCCTTTTAGTTGGCCGACAATATACAGAAAACTAACCCGGAGTTTTACAGAGCAAACTTCAAGATAGATAGATAGATAGATAGATAGATAGATAGATAGATAGATAGATAGATAGATAGATAGATAGATAGATAGATAGATAGATAGATAGATAGATAGATAGATAGATAGATATATAGATAGATAGATAGATAGATAGATAGATAGATAGATAGATAGATAGATAGATAGATAGATAGATAGATAGATAGATAGATAGATAGATAGATAGATAGATAGATAGATTATTGATCCCAAATTGGGAAATTCTTGTGTCCATGCAATAAAATATGGAATAAGGTATAGACATAAGAAAATAAACAGTGTAACTGGTGCACATCAGGTTTTTTTAATGCATTTTTGTTGTTCGAACCCAGCATTCAGTAATAAGTCATGCATTCAAAATGCACTTAGGCCTGAGAAAAACATATTTAAATATTAGCATCAACATGTTCTTAAAATAAAAGTATTCATCATGCAAAATGGACCATTTTAGAATAATATAGGCCTACATTATATAATTGGATTTATTATTATCAGATAATTTCAATGCTGCAGCTGATAGGGCTTATTTAAATTAACTAGTGTACTAGTATCTTAAAAATATGAACGTAAGAAATTATTCCAATACTGCTTTTACTACTTAATCACCAGCTTTATCATATTTTTCTGAAAACTGTGTGTCGTTGTTTGTAGTAGTCTTTTAGTTTGTAATGTGTGTTGCGAGTTGTAAGTAATGTGTTCCTCCTGTAGGGGGCGATGTTGAGCCAGTTTCTCCTCTACAAAGAATATAAAGGATCTGATGAAAAAAAAGAGAACTTGCCTTCAATTGTCCAAGCCTATCGTCATGGAAAGAGTTACTTTGTTGCGGCTCGCACAGGAATAAACCCCAAGAAACAACACTGGCCAGAGATGTGTGTTGATACTTTTTAGCAGGACATTGGTTGGTTTCTGATGTTGCTTTATTTTCCAATTTAAAGCATCGACTGAAGATGCGCAGGAACCTGTTTACAAGGGAAACGCTGCAAGTATTAGTCTGAGGGACTGCGGAGCAGGCTCACAATGCACCGGGATACCATTACTCATCCCTCTGTTTTTCTCCACGCCGGGGCACTTTGTTTCCCGGATGTTTTCATCAAGGAACGTTTTAGGATCTGTAATGGCAAACAAGGGTCCGACAAGTGAACAAAGCGAGGCTGCAGTACCGTTTCTGAAGGATTAAAACAACCCACGGTGCTTATGGAGGAGCTCTTCGGTGAAACCAGTTTTGTACCTGTTGTATTTGTGATGTAAAGAGAGGAAGAGAGGAATGTTATGAGGAAGTTATTGAGTTATAACACATTTACAGCCTGACGTTGTTGTTAGACTTTTAAGCACAGGACAATAGAGCCTCAATGGGCTGAGGATGCTAGTGGTCACAGTAGGTATATTTTAGACTTTTTTGGCGGATAGAAGTAATAGTTTTACACAACTGTTGTCTTCTCCTGTTTATTCTAAGTGTCAGATTATTCAATTTACTAAAGTCATAGACTACTGTGACACCTGATCCAACAGCTGCCATGTAATTTGAGACGAGTTTAATTATTAAAGTGAGCTAGTGTCAGATGTTTCCAAAACAGTAGCATAATTATACTCTAGGCACTATGTGCATGTAGGTTTTTCTTGCTGTTGGACCCACTGGAGAATCAAGATGTCAGCGAAAGCCAAAGCACTCTACACTTTCCAAAGTGAAAACAAAGAGGAGATCAGTATCCAGGAGAATGAGGAGCTGGTTATCTTCGACGAGAACTCGGTGGACGGATGGTTTCAAGGGGAGAACAGCCGAGGGGAGAAGGGTCTCTTCCCAGCATCCTATGTGGAAGTTATTCGCACTCGCTCAAACTCTAACGTGACAAACTGCTCCATCAGCCCAGCAGGGTCTTTGGGAAATGACTCCTCCTTTTTATCATCATCAACCCCAAACACCTCTTTGACTTTGCAATCGAATATCTACGACAATGATGAAGATGATGATGATGACTGGGACGACTGGGATGACAGGTCGACGGTTGTGGACGATGGTGACCACAGGAGCCCTGGGGCCAATGGACACCCCCATCACAGCCCACTGTCAAACAATCCCAATGTGCACTACCGGGCCAAACCACACATGGAGAGACAGGACAGCATCTCCGGCTCGAGGAAAGGCAGCGTGGTGGGCAGGAACTTGAACAGGTTTTCCAGCTTTGTCCGCTCAGGGGTGGAAGCGTTTGTGTTGGGGGATGTACCCATGATGGCGAAGATAGCTGAGTCATACACCATTGAGATGGGTCAATTGGGGCCAGTTTGGCAGGCGAGCCCAAAGCCTTTCTCCTGTTCCGTCGAAGACCCCACAAAACAGACAAAGTTCAAGGGTATCAAGACGTACATTTCCTACCGTGTCACGCCGAGCCACATAGGGCGTGCCGTGTACAGACGCTACAAACATTTTGACTGGCTGTACAACCGCTTACTGCACAAGTTCACTGTGATCTCCGTGCCTCACCTGCCTGAGAAGCAGGCCACGGGGCGATTTGAGGAAGACTTCATCGAGAAGCGCAAAAGGCGACTGATACTGTGGATGAACCACATGACCAGTCACCCAGTACTCTCCCAGTATGAAGGCTTAGAGCACTTTCTAATGTGTACTGATGACAAGCAGTGGAAATTGGGCAAGAGGCGGCAAGAAAAGGACGAGATGGTTGGTGCCCATTTCATGCTGACCCTTCAGATCCCCAACGAGCACCAGGACCTTCAGGATGTAGAGGAGCGCATCGACACCTTCAAGGCCTTTGCTAAGAAAATGGATGACAGCGTTTTGCAGCTCACACATGTTGCTTCGGAGCTGGTTCGTAAACACCTGGGTGGGTTCAGGAAGGAGTTCCAGCGGCTGGGAAATTCTTTCCAATCTATCAGCCATGCGTTCACGCTGGACCCTCCCAACAGCTCAGAGAATCTCAACAAAGCCATCTCCCATACGGGCCGCACCTACGAGAACATTGGAGAGCTGTTCGCAGAGCAACCTAAGAATGACCTCTTCCTTATGCTGGACAAGCTGTCCCTCTACCAAGGCCTGCTCGCCAACTTCCCGGACATTATTCATCTACAGAAAGGTAAAATCATATATGAGAAGTTTCAGTGTGTGAGAAATGTATTTTATGTCCTTCTGTATTTCATTACATTACATTACAGGGAAACTACAACATGTGAATGGTGATTACTTTCATAATCCACACAGATGTTTGGATGAGTCCTCAGCCTTCCATCTGATTTGATTTCCTGCAGCTTCATTCATGTTTTACTGTCCAAAGGCAGATATTTTTCCAGCCATCAGGACCCATAATTACATAATTTCATAGCACAGCAATTAGCATTTATCAAAAGGTGTAAGTTGATTATCATGAACTCTCAGTCACACACACCAATTATAACTCTGTAACAGGCGACGAATCACTTTTAAATTGAGACAAGCAGCAGCAAGAAGTGTTGCAAAAGCTTTAGTAATATATCAGTATGTCTGCTAAGTAGCAATGACCTTATGGCCAGTGATCACATTTTTCTCTCAAACTGTCCTATATTTTGTTACGGATGACAGGTTAGGTCATCTCCCCTTCTCACAGACAAACACATGCAGAGACAAGTGACATTTGAACCCAGGAATGGAACATATTGTCGGATGTGTTGCAGTCAGTCTGGGATGAATATGAGGTCAACTGTTCCACCTCATTGACCCCAACCCAACCAGAACAAAACACACACATACGACCAAATTCTCTCGGTTCAACAAATACTTTCATAATAATGACTGACTTAAACAACCTGGGCAAAGTATTAGAACAAATAATCACTAATTTTCTCCATTATGGAATCACACCTCAAGTGTAATAGTCATAGTGACTTTATTAGTTTCAATAGCTCTTTATAATACTGACATAATTCAGCGTGGTTCTAGGAGATTGAAGTGATATTGACAATTTACCTTGTGTTTAAATTGTGTGCATTTCTTTTGGAAGCTCAACTTAGACTCCTCTTGGCTCTGTCTAAAAATGTACGAGATAAATGGGCAAGAGGTTTTTTGTGGTGTTATTTTACAACTAACTGTCATGATGAGACAACGGCACCTGAGTGTAATCGGCAGGGAGTGGCTCATTGATATGTGATGTCATTTTAACTCATGTGACTACTTTTCAAGAAGTGGTTCAGCTTGTTTCCAGTTGTCAGCACTCACAACTGTGTGTAAGCATAAATGCCCACATTGAGAACTGGTACTCGTAGCAGCTAATGTTGGAGTTATACTGTTTATATGTGTTCAAAATGGCCACGCCATCACTGGAATCAATGGCTTGTTGTTTGACTGTCAGGAATTAGCATAACGCTGGTTAGTCAGTAACCTGCAAACCATAAAGCTAGCATTTTCCTGTAATAGTAATATAGCAGATTTGAATACTCTGCAACGGTGTTTATGACAGCTGATTTTCATAAACCTCGTGGTGAAATATGCTGCACTGTCATGCCTCTCCTCTCGTGAGCCTGTTAGACGTGGTCCAAGACAGTGAGAGCTTTGACGTATCAGCGCTCTGTATCAGTTCTCAAACAAATAACTGTATCAGCTGTTGGCGTTAGTTACAGAGGAAGGAAAGGGATGCTGCCAGGAGTGTACAGTAAATATTATTATCCTACTTCAAACAGCTGGCGATCATTATCCCAGAGGTCATCTGTGATACCATTCAGATTAGTGACATGTAGCCACTCCACCCACGGATACATGAGAAAAACAAAGCCTTCTGATATATCATATTAAAGGGTCAGTCCACTCAACTCACAAACTCAGCAATGATATCATTCAACCTTGGTGGGGCAGATCGTTTTCTGTGCAAAAGTCTTTATAGGTCTGGCTCTAAAATATTCGAAATACTATAAAACCACAGAGGACATTTGATTCACACTTATTTTATCGGGATGACAAAGGTGGATATCCCTAATATCCATAATCTGCTTGTCTACATACCACCAGGGTCAGGAAGAACAATCTGTCCCCCTGTAATTTGTCAAATTGATCATTTAAAAATCACTTTCTTTTTAGGGAGAAACAACATGTTTACCCTCTTCGAAATGAAATGTTTAGCGCATAAACAATAACAAGCACGCACGCACGCACGCACGCACACACACACACGCTGAAATGTAGCATTCAATCATTCATTTGGTTCTTTTTTTGGAAGAAAATATGACAACAAATGCCCCCTCTTCTGGCGTACTTACTCTTTAAACAAGTTTTTCTTAATTTAAATCAAACATGTGCAAAGTTTAGACTATTTGACATAGGCAAATATCTTGTACCCTGGCTTTATTTAGACAAACTTGGCTTATTTTTTAAAAATAATTTGTATAAAATGGTTATACTCCAAAGCAACAGTTTTTTCTTTTTAAGTAAAAGGTGAACTAAAATTAGGTTTGGTATAGGGCTGCTCAATTAATCGTATTTTAATCGCAATTACGATTATGGCTTGCAACGATTACGAAAACAACGTAATCGAAATAAAACGATTATTTTTTTATTATTATTACTGTTTTTCTTTTTATTACTTTTTTAAAAATTGTTTTTTCAGTTGAGTTATACTTAAAGTTCAGGGTAATCAACTGTTAAAAACATACCGTTCACATTTCTTTTCTCCAATAAATTGATGTTTTCAAAGTAAATGGATAATCGCTTTTAATAATCGTGATATCAATTATTGACCCAAACAATCGAGATTATGATTTTTGCCATAATCGAGCAGCCCTAGTTTGGTATTGGAAACAGTGTTTTTAATTTTTTGTACCCAACCTTGACGCGAGACAACACATACTGTCCTCGAGGAGGTTGTGTAGCAGCGTGTTTTTGAAGGCAGGGACCTTTTCCGGGTCTTCCTCCAGATGAATCCCCTTGATGTGACTTGTTCTGCTGAACCACATACAGCTGTGGCAACACTCAGATCCCACAGAACTGAGGTCAAGCTTTTCCGGTGATCTCCTCCTCCTCCTCAGGTCCTCATTGCTGCTTTTTTTGCCTCACCGAGTTCTATAATAGTTGTTTCTAACTGTGATCCTGTTGAGCATGTGAACTACAGGAATGTTAACTCTCTATGAGATGTGATGCGGGGTAGCGACTGCATGTGGCCTTGATAAAAAGGATACAGGGAGAAGATTTAGGGGATTGGCGTCAACATGTCAGGGAGTGCTGCAAACATCTCTTTCTCCACTTTTCTCAGTTCTGTCCTGACTTACTTCTCTGTTGGTCTCGGCTTTTGCTCAATCTAGAAGTCATTCTGTCACTGTTTCGTTATCCACTTCATGTCTGTTTTATTTTCTTTCTCAAAAGAAAGTACCCATATCAGCTGTCTGGGCAGCTGCCCTGGTTTCAATAATGGAGAAAGTAAATCTAGTCTGGTCTCAAGGCGTGGACTCCTAACAGTGCTCTGCTGCACTTTGAAACCCTGCCAAAATGAATCCCAAAGACTTTGATCTCTTTTGAACACAATCGAACATCTTGATCTATAGGATTAAATACATTCCATTCTTATAGAATAGAGGGCCTACGAGGCTTCATTGTGAGGGCCAGATGTGAGCAGGGGTTCATTTATTATTTGGTAACCCATGGAAATACAATATGCTGTCTCTATTGAATTATTGTACATAACCATAAACTAAGCTTGTCTTGAATCAATCATAGACTTTATGTAAGACGTGGACATAGTCAGCGTAACGTCACCCATTGCTTTGTGGACTACAGTTTTGGGGCCTTGGTCGTTTGACTGTTTTCATCTTGGTTTTTTGGACCCAGAATGGACACAATAGAGTAGAGCAATGTACAGCCAAATAATGAACAGTCATTTTTAGGTCACTCAATTGTGAAAATTAACCTTAATAAACATACAGCATGCTTTGATGGGCTCATGGACGATAACACAGAAAACACGCAGATTGCTTAGTTCCAAAGTAGGGCCACATCATCACAAGGTAGACCCAACCTAAAGCATACCCTGCTTTATTGTATATCTTACTCTAAAGGGGTCATCATTTACCAAATGAACATCATGCTGTGTTGAAAAATACTTTACACTGGTGATTGCAAACATAAAGTCATCAGTAAAAGGTTTTCTAAAGTAATAAATCAAGAAGGAAGTAGGGTCATTTCCTTATAGACTTCCATTCAAATCGGACTTCTTCTTGCTACTAGCTTATTTGCTTCCTGCTGGATATTAGAGGAAATGCTACTGTAGTCACTTCACTATTGGCTTCACTTTTCAGGCCATCAAACTGGTCTTCAATATGACATTTTCTTCAGCAATTGTAACGTGTAAGGTATTTGTGCAAGAATATCAGTTATCATGTTCTGTAGGTTTTGTTACCTGGCAAAAAACGGAGGTACTTATCTGAGACAAACCACCTCACGAAGGCTTTGAATAAACACAAAAGGGTTCACAATAGAGTGAAACCAACCCGCCCCACGGTGAGGGTATCAGTCCGATCTGATCACATGTGTTTGAAGATGAAATCTGAGGCGTTGGATCTGGATCTGCGTCACCTGTGTCCCTAGAATGACTTGTTGAGGAAAGAAAGGCAAAGTTACAGTTCAATTCCTGTGGATAACAACAAAAGCGGTGATGAATACATTTGACTTTGTGGGCTGGCTTGGAAACGCCACTTTGGAATTATGGCCTCACACCAAAGCAAAAGCCATGACAAATGTGATGTGGGAATATGCAGCACATACACCAGACCTAAGCTGTTCTCATTTTATCTTGACACATTTTTCGGACATTTGGATTGTTCTTAAGAAAATAATGAGTGGTGTTTGTGTGATCCACAGCAGTGCAGACAATTATTCAGTTTGAGAATGAGCCAGATCCCCTGGGACGCATCCAGCAAGCCAGCAAGCCAGCAAGCCAGCAAGCCAGCAAGCCAGCAAGCCAGCAAGCCAGCAAGCCAGCAAGCCAGCAAGCCAGCAAGCCAGCAAGCCAGCAAGCCAGCAAGCCAGCAAGCCAGCAAGCCAGCAAGCCAGCAAGCCAGCAAGCCAGCAAGCCAGCAAGCAAGCCAGACTTTAATCTGGACAAGAGTTTAGTTGTCCTCC